ATACATATATATATATGTATATATATTCATATATATCTATATCTATATTATATATATGCATGTATATGTATATTTATTTACATATATATATCTTTATACATAGATGCATACATATATATATATATATATATATTTATATATATATATGTATATATATTTATGTGAATGAATATATATATATATATCTATATATAAAGATATATACATACATATACACACATATATATATGTATACATGCAGACGTGTATATATATATATATATATATATGTTTGTATATAATACGTTTGTATGGATATGTATACGAATATAAATATATATATGTATATACATACATACATACATGCATACATACATACATGAGTACATACATACATACATACTTACATACATATACATATATATATTTATATCTATATCTATATCTATATATATACATATATATATATATATATATGTAGATGTATATATATATATATATATTTATATATATTTTATATCCATATAGATATATATGGATATATATATAGACGTATAATTACATGTATATATATATATATATGTATATATTCAAATTTATATATATAAATATCCTGTATATATATATATATATATACATACATGCATATATATATATATATATATATATATATAAACACGCACACATACACACACACACACACACACATATATATATAATATAAATGAATATAATTGATCACAAAAGTATGAGTAGTATAGTGAGGGAAAAATGATGCCGAAACCACATTCAGCAGAAAGTATGGTATCAGTCTTTGTTGGTATTAAGGTTTTTATATTTGCGTGTCGTAATTTCGTCATATCCAGCCGTACTAATTGTGTCGTACACAAGGGTATAGCCTCCACAGTTCCAAGTTATATGCTTTGAATATTTAGAATTCCGATCATTCGTCCATCCTTAGGCGTCTGAGGTTCTTTCGCAGGTCCTGGTCATTATCAGCCTGCGAAGCAACGGTACAGATTTAATACTCAACTATTTATCATCGGGGATTTTAGATCTATTGCACAAGAAAGCCACACAATAAATATGTCAAAGATTTATGTCAGCTCCAATTCTGCACAAGAACAAGGTATTTGCAGTATCATGTCAGAAAAGCACGGGTTGGGAGAATTAAATTAGAAACTTGGGAATCAGTTGCCAGTTGAACCCACTCGATTTTTGACACAGTTTTCGATGCTCATATACCGAATCATAGTCTCCATCAAACCGATCGTGACTCCATCGGCTAGCATTTGATTTCTTTGGGCCCTGTTGAATATATGATAAGCAAAACGTGAGTGCGCTACTTATAGTGCAATTCTAAGCGAAACAAGTCAACCTTTCTGGCTGTATAATTCCAATAATGTGAAACCATGCTCTAATCAGTTTCACCACAAATCTGAATTCATAGCATTTTTCACCTAGTCGTCGTTATTCGGCGGTGGCTTTCACAGAAGGCAAATAAATTGAGCTTGCTTTGCTCTTAGAAAGCAAAATACTTACCCCTTGTCCATTCTTGCCAGTGCTTCTCGAACCGAACTTATCGTGAGCCCAGACATTCGAGTCCACGCCCTGCAAATTAGTGATGCGTGATTCCAGATTGCTGCTAATGCCAGTGATTGAAGAGGCTGTGGAACTGTCACCTCCACGCCCCCTCACCTTTTTCGCTCGTACGGGACTCTTTACGCTTATAGGGGCGCGAGCGTCGTGCTGTAAAGTGTGGTCCACGGGCTATATAAGCTTCGGTATACCGACATGATGTATTCTTGGTTTTACAGCCGCATGCGCAAAAATCACATTCGCCTATTGAAAGATTCAAGCCTCAAAAGTGCAAAAATACAAGTTAGAAGCAGTATGTTTGCGGCCTAATAGTCGGATAAAAAAAAAAGCGCTACACGCAAAACTATGCGAAATATCTCCTTGCCTCACAAATTTGTCACATCAAGAATCAAGATACAAGTCAAGTTTTGTAGTCCGCATGTGAAACAAATTCGGGTATCTTACTTGGAAGTATTTGGGAAGAGATTCGGTTTTTGTCATCCCGGTGTCATTCTCTATGTATCTGTAAAATTGAACACGGTATTATCCAAGAGGACGGCGTGTCAGAATCAACCTGCTCGGACAATTCGTTTATTAGGCACAATATCTTTCACTACAAGGTCGGTACAAAAGCGGGGTGCACCGTCGTGTTGGTGATTTATACTAAACACACTCATACCGTGACATGTCCCGTCGAAGGGAATTTGCATCTGCTGCACTTGTAACTGCTCGTTTGAAGATGCTCTGAGGGCCAGTGTTGGCACTTCGCTTCATGGGCTTTGTAACACGCGCGCTGGAGCGGTCTCGGCTACAAGATAAATTGTGTTAATATAGCATTTGAATATTGGCTCAATTAGTGACAGCTCGAGTGTTTCCCAATGAATAATTCAATTTGATATCGATTGCATCCTCAGGTACTTGCCCTTTTATACATCTACAGACGTCACGAATTAAATAATACTTCGATTCGAGTTTGCGCACATAAGAGAAAGGGAATATAAACAATAAAGTCAAGTAGAGGGAAAGCTATATACATCCAATAAGCACACGAAGATAACTGTCGTGCGCAAAAATGTATTCAAAAAGCAACTGTAGGTGATTGCACAATGGTTTCATTATAAATATATGCAGTGAAAAATAGACGTGTCAACATACTTCTTGTTGGCAACATTCCTCCGCACTTCACTTTTGTGCGGTCTGCTTTCTCTGTTGTACGGCGGATAGCTTTTCCTTCTGCTGCAGTGCGAGACAGAGAGCAGAAATTAACGAGGTAGCGATCAGAATTGACACACTGAGCAGTTACTTCAGCAAACGAGGAATAAACCACTATGAACGTCCTCCCAATACTACGCATATAATGTTGCCTTCTAGCCTCACAGTCCTACAAATGCATCTCTATTTCGTTTTTCTCAAAAGACAAAAAAAACACAGTAGAGCTTTAGTTGTTGAGATAGATAGACTAGTATTTTTGATATTATGTCTTCTAGACCGTTAAACTTACTATGGGCGACTATGCCTGATATTTTCGGAAATACAAAAGTAGAACCTTAGGTACGTTTGGAAACTCACACAGCATCCGTGCAATTGTCAATTGATCATAATTAAACTACTATATATATATATATATATACAAACACACACACACACACACACACACACACACACACACACACACATATATATATACAATAACATATATACATA